TAGATTACTTATACAAATTGTTATTTAAAAAAGTAATTTTCAGAAATTATATTTTTACTTTCTAAAAATATTATATAATAATACAGGAAATTTATATGAATCATAAGCCTACCAAGGCGATATTATTACCATTTTTTTCGCATTGTGAAATTGAATCATGTATTTAATCTTATTTGCTATAATTGCATTTCTTGCAAAATTCACATTTAATTAATATTTTCTTCTATTTCCAATTATTCTATTTTCAACTTAGTTTGTTTAGTTCACATTTTATTATAATAATTGATTAGATATACTATCAATTTACAAATTATAACGTAGTTATTTTTTTTCCAATAAATTAATGACTATAATTATTATTTATTGCAGACTCATAGTGAAATTATTGTAGCCTTGCAAACTTTCAGTCAATTATAACTCGATTTCCATCTCAAATTCGAATATTATTGCCAAGTTGTGCACATCACGGTTGACAGCACAATGAGATTTTACGAAATTACAATCTCTTAGTTCATAAACGTTTATCATTTTATTGATTCATCGTCATACATAAATTTTGTATATTTTTGTTATTACAACTTTTCCTATTGTAGCTGAGGTTAATTTGAAAGAATGATATACTAATAACCGTTGATTACGTAACAATCAACAGCCATATGGTGATTATACCATGGAGAATGTTGTTGTCGATGCCGGTGACTGCTTTGGTATGCGACTAGTTTTAGTTTATAAACGTTCCATTGTTTTCGGATATTTAACAACACTATCCTTAAGAATATATTGAGTTTACCGTATTTTCCCAAGTTGACGCTCCCATATATAAGACAAATCTTAAATTTGGGGATAACTAGAGCCAAAATTTCCAAACACTTTATAAGACTCAGCTAGTTTTTAAACCCATTTTTTTTTAAAGGGATGCATTTTATACTTAGCGAAATACGTTTTTCATTCTATATTTATTTAATTTTAACTGTACTCACTTATTTTTAAATTAATAAAAGAAATATTCTGGTGATATTTCATCAAAGTTTGTTTATAAAATAAAATTGAAAAGAGAAATCACTGATATGTTACTATAATATTATTGTTATCTAACATAATATATCACAATAATAAAATGTCTAGAGAATATAGTACAAATATATCTTAAGATCTTTTATAATAGTAGTTATATATTACTTGGTAAATATTCCAATGAGAGTACATTTTTTTTATATATAATAGCTGTTAACGTTTATACTAAAAAATATTAATATTATAAGATTTTAGACTGATTGGTAGATCATGATCAGATTTAATCATATTTTCACAATTAATTAATTAGCAGATAATCAACTAAGGACGTCAATTTATTATATATTTATTAGATAATTTTTACTTTAAACACAAAAGGACAAAATGTATTGGTAGAATAATGGAAATTGGACATTACATCACAATACAATAAAACTAAAATATGCTTCATATTAGAGGGACTAATGCAAATTGGCAGATATACATTTTTTAACACCTGTCCACCTATAATAAGTGTAATTGTTGTCCTGGACACCCCATATTTTAACCCTCAGAACGCCCCTAGATTAATATCTGTATTATCGATATTTTAAGATATTTAAGTTATCAAAACTTTATACCAAGCTATAATTAAAAATAAAGATGTTATCAAAGATAAATAGTCGTGATATTTGTGGGAAAATATTATTTTTAATGGTTAATTATAATTTAAAAAAAGGTATGATATAAATCTATTGATTTCACAATAAATTGTTAGAAAAAAAATCACAAATAGAAGATTGGCTGTGGAGATTTATAATTTATTGCTTCGTAGTATAAGAAAATCAATAACCCTTAAATCCGACTCACTGCAGTCTGGAGGTATAAAGCGTTCCAATAAATATTACCTAACCTGATCACAAACAACTGCTGTAATTTAGAAATATAGATAGAAGTTATATATTTTATAGCTAGTTTGAATTGTCAGCAAAGTTGAAGAATATTTACTGCTAAAACACATTTGTTGCTTAAAAATTACATGATTAATATAAGTTATAAAACTCTTTACAGATTGATGTCATTCTGTTAGATCAAATGTAATCATTATGTATATTCGTAAAATCCTCGTGGTCAGTGGTTAATCTAATATCAATGAAAGTTTTCAAAAAATGTCAATATATTGATTTTTCGAATTTGGACATGAACCAGTAATGCCTGTAATGCTCAAGGGTATACGGTAATGGGGGGCCATGACTTTGGACCATCTACGTATCTAAGAAAGAATATTTGAATTAGAATTCGCCCTATTCCATCATCTCTACCGTCAGTTACTGAACTGTTGCCTAGCGCCTAAACAGTGCTGAGATTCGGACAATGGGACCTTCGGACCTCAGTCCCGATATTTCTAGCTACGATACTGACACAATTATTTTGAAATGTTAATGGATTCTTTGAATGGATATTAAAACTGGATAAGGAGCATTTCAACGTTATTGTACTACTCGATATAAAAAAACCATTACGATTAACAATTCACTGCATGCAATGTGTGCTGTTTTTTTATATAACACATCTAACGATAGAAGAATGTTGAAATCGAATCTGTTATTTCTCTTTCCATTTCATTAATGCCCCTGTTTAAGAAATAAGAATGAAATATTTAAGATGTTGACCTTGTTTCTTGCATACTGAATAATACACAAACGCATTATGAATTCTGAGTATTGAAAAGCGTACGTGCGTTTTTCACTGGAGTGAAAGATCGTCCAGAGACGTAAATAGTGTCTTGATGAATTTTAATCGCTTGTAAACACATTTTCTGTTTATCTAATATACTTCTGCTTCTATGCACTTGTACCACTTCTAACAAGAATATGAAAACCAAATGCAAGAAAATTATTTACATACTGAAGTTTCTTGAATTTATTTATTTTAAGAAAGAGTGTGCTTATTTGACACAAAATTGTACTTCGTTTCATCTATTATCGGCTGTGAAGCAATTAGCTTATCTTTATGAGTGGCGAGTGCTTCTAATCTGTTCTTAAACACAAATTTTCGGAAGCATTTTTTTTTGTGCTGTGATATGATTATGTAAACATATTTTTGTGTAACAACACAAAATACAAAAAATAATATATAATATTTAATGATGATTCTAGGATAAATTTGGATGATTATCCTAGGTCAAGGTGAGTATATTAATTCAATAAAGATTAGAAGACTATAGGAAAACCATTTCTAATTGGAAAACTATTTTCATACTTAAGATTGTCTATTTTAAAAGACTGGAAGAATATAGGTTAACAATTTCCATAACATTTCGTAATGATGATCGTTTATCAATCAATGACTTTAGAAATAATGAAAGATAACTAATAAAATATAGAATGGAAAGAACGAAAAACTAGCCTAGCTTCAAACTATTATCCGAATGAACAAATTATTTTTAAAGATAATAGAACAACAAAATATGTGATGGTGTAATCTAAGAAAGAAAATTATTTTTAAATTTAAATATTTACAAACTGGAATATTAGTAGAATTGTTTTGAAGTATATTATATTTTAAAATAACTATTATATTAATTTGATTATAATTCTAGGATAAGTTTTGATGATTATTTTTGCAGAAGGTACTTGTTACACGAGAAATGTATGTTCTCTAACAAAGATTGCCTATTAATGAATTGACTCGAGGAGTTTAAATGATTATGCTAGGTCAAGGCCTACGCTGCAGTTCTAGAGATACTGGAAGACTAGAAGCAATTTACAAGAGAGGAGAGCTTTCTGTAATGAAGATCATCTAACGATTAATATACTGGATATGTTTAGATGCCTATGGTGCAGATCTGGAAAAAATGGAAGACTACCTTGAACTCTATTTTAAGGGTAGATACATATTTTAAGTGAAGAAGTTTTTTTTTGGAGTTCCATCAAATATTGATCAAGTTTAGATGAATAATATAAGTTACAGGTTTGGAAAGAATGGTATATATAAAGCAATTTCAATGAGAAAATAACTATCTCTAATGAAGGAAGATCATCTATCGATTAATTTGAAATTTTAAATGCTTATGGTAGGTGAAGGAGTATGCTACAGATTTGGATATTATGGAAGACACCTTGAGACATTTTCGATCTATTATAAGATAGGATTATCCTAGGTCAAGTAGTTCTAAAAAGAACAGACTACTTCAAAAAATAATAGAAGAATTATGATTTTGTTGGAGTGAAATATGAAATAGGATGATTATGCTAGGTCAAGGTGTACGCTTCAATATTGTGAAGAGTGGAAGACTAGGGTCATCTAGTTTCAACGAGGAAAATAGTTTCCCGAATGAACCAATCGGCTATTAATTAATGGAGTGCATTGAAAGAGAATAGCCGTGGCCTTAGAGGAATTTTAGCATCCGCATAGCCAAGAAGGCGGGCAGCCAGGCGAAATAAGCATGCAAGAAGAGAAGAGAGGTTGTATGAATAAAATGTCTGCAAGCAAGCAAAGCAATGCAAAGCTATGAGAGAGCAAGCAAGAACCGAGCGGTCGTTAAAAGCAGAAAGAATAAAGAATGCAATATGTCTGTAGAGACGACGGCCCCGGCGGAGGACGGTGGAGGACGGGCGACGGCGACGACGGTTCGAAATGGCAAAAGACTGGTTTTGCAACGGGGAAACCGGACGGGCCGGCGCATGCCCGTATCGCCGCCGCACAGGCCCCGCACCGCCGTCGAATGGGAATGCAAGGCGTCGCGTCGGCCAGACGACTTGCAAAACTACCGATATTCTGCAGAGTGCACATTGCATTGCAGCCGCGGGAGTCGGCACTACATCAAATTTTTCTATTCCAATTCTACAAAACGTTCACAAAAATTCTTAACCTCTATCTGCACGCATCTACGTAACACGTTTGCATCCACGGTTCTCATCACAATTTGTTTTCATCACTCCACAATTTTTATATTTTTTATTCTTCACATCTTTTAATTATTATATTTTATTTTTTTTTTAAGTTTTGTTTAATTCGTTTCAATTTTATACTTTCGTTTCGATGTTTGCAACGTTTTTCAACCACACCAGTTCATAAAATTTTGTTCATCAGTTTCGGTCGCGGATGTCAGTTTAGTAGTTCTTAAGTATTATTCACGCAATTAATCGCATCTCGTCTGACGCGTTAGGAGTTATTAATTTTTTTATTTTTTTTTATTATATATTATATAAATATGTTTGTTGTGTTTGTTGAAGTGCATTAAAAGTGTTTTCATTTTTCATTACAAGGAGTTTAAAAACAATCTTTAACATTTTTGGTACGTATACTTTTCCAATTATATCTCGCTACATGTTAAGCTTTTCGCGTTGGACGTATCGTCCAATGGGAGCCTAAGCTAAGTTCTTAGCATCTCAACTTAGCAACAAGCGCTGCTGCCGCTGACGCCAAATATTCAAATTAGAATTCGCATTCCTTCTTTCTCGAAACATCCTTTTCGAAGAAGCAAAAAAAAAACCCTGTCTGTTGCAAATCTTTTTGTTATAAACAATCCTTTGATTGTTTTTGGTGACGAGTCGCAAAATCGCGGCGGGAGGTTGCCAAAATAGCTGCGCTTTTGAGTCACTCTATATTTATAGTAGCGACGAAAATTGTTTACTCTTTCCAAAAAAAAAGATCGCTTTATTCTCTCCTTCTCCAGCGCGTCTCCATACAATCTTTCAATAATTAACTCTTATAATTAACCGCAGAGCAAAAACGTAACGTGCAAACGTTATTAAACAAACAGACGCTGACAAAAAAAAATAGATAAAAAGACTTGTATAAATATATATAATAAAAACGCTGCGTATTTCGTTTCGTGCTTATCGGTTTAGAAGTGGCGTGGCTGCTTGAAATACCTCAAGTACCTAGTATAATAGAATTAAAACCATAATCCTTTCATCATGTTGGATATCCAATAGCAAATCTTATTGGATTCCCAACTTTTTTTTTCTTCAAATTTAACATTCGCGCTTCGCTTTTAACTTCGACCACAAGTATTGTTCTGCAGCGTTTCAAGGCCTCGACTATGGTTAATAAGGAGTACTCAAGTGCAAGACTCCATATGGCATCAAGCTGAAATGCGTTTCGGCTTCGCGAAGCGGTTACCAGACGGTATTTAGGTGCGGCCATCAGATAAATTCTTTAATTAATGCTTTTTAATGCATCATTTTTAACGAGGATTAAAACAGATCTTTAAAGCGATCGCGGCAACAGATAAACCTTAATAACACGTACATTATTATTATTTTCTTATATTTTTAATTATTATTTTTTATTAAAAAAATGCAAATGAGAGTGTATCGAAATTTTTCGCCCCGAATCTTATGAAATGGGGTTGCGCGAATCTTTTAGAAACGTGTTTCTAGCCGTCCCCCTGACCGTTGTAATTTATGTGTGACCGGACAGAATCCAGACGAAATCCACAAACCCCAATTTGCACGTACAAATGGACCACACAAACGGTGTTCCTTTTAATGTGTAGGATGTGTTAATCTGGACCATATATATTATTTATAATTACCACCTACTTTATCAATTGACGATTGCAGCCTAAAAAAAAGGTATTGATAACTTTGTGATATTAAATATAAATTGAGTAGTAATGTAACAAACATTTTGTGATAATAATGCTATCGGTATTATTTGTGCTTCATAAATTAATTTTTGTGGTAATTAGTAGATATTGACGCTTTGACGATACACTCTTAATGTGTATACTTGCATCATATTGTTCGATGTAACCACAAACCGATTGGTTAGAGCAGACAACATCTGAATCATCGCCCGCAAAACCGTTGTGTATGTTTTCGTTTTAATCTTGTGCTTCCTGTTTTAATTTCAAGTATTTACTTCAATTGAGGATCTCAGTATTTTCAAATTCGTGACAAACTTAAAATTAGGATTTGATCGCTAGGTTTCCCCCCATTCATGTTTGGGACAGCATCCATTAATTGCATGTTAGTACAAACAACATTATTAATCATAATATGCACTGAACAGTATTCAACGTGTCAAGTATATTAATGCTTGTAATAGAAAATTAAACTCATTTTCTTATCATATGGTGATAAGTACACATAAAATGTCATTAAGATAAGACTTTATTATATACATTCATTAATTTCCTTTTGCTTAAACAACTTTTTTTTAACTTTTACAGAAAATGTTATTTAGTTCACTTATTCAATTATTGTCGACTTTTTATAGTTTCATTATAGGATAGTACAACTATAATTATGCAATATGTACTAACTACGTTGCACGTCTATATTTACGTTTCAAATTATGAGAATACTCGTTTGAACTTTGACTATTCCTTTCATAACTGAATGCACAACTACCTTTTAATTATATAAGAATAATATTAAATCATAAACGGTACAAATTAAATCAATTGATTTATGATTCTCATACATTTTTATTGAATTCAAAATACATACATTTAAATTTGTATCAATTAATCCATTTATTTAGTTTTATTTTAAAAAAGTGATGATTAAAATAAAAAAAACATTATTATTATATTCTATTTGTTAGTTTTGTATCATTTCCAAGTATTTTGTTATTCATGCTCATAATATGATATGCGGTTAACTAGTATTTTCTGGATTATAGTGATTCAAAGAAGGAATTCTTCAATTAAACTCATTTTATGCAGCGGTTTGAAAGTCAATCATCGGAAATATTTGATTTGCATAAAGTTGAACTAATTTTATTTAAGACTGTTTCAGCAAAACTAATTTTGCATTTACATACTGAGTGTTAATTAATTAAAATAATTATATTCAATTAAAATCAACGAACCGACTGTTTTTTTTATAATAATAAACAAACATTTTCCGTTTTGGTATAAATTTAAATATTTCATTAATAATATTTATTGATTATTTTTTATTCTTACTACTAAAATATTTGTATTTGTTGGGAACATTGAGAATTTTGAAGTTTTTGACTGAAATATGCCTTTAAGTAATTTGAATAACTGAGATGTTTCTATAAGTAAAGTGAAATAGTTTTAAAGAATATATAAATATTTGTTTATTTGATCTATTTAACTTCTTTCGAACATCGATTAAGTTAAGAATAGGTTTACCTTCGATGCTACATGCAACAACTTGGAACAAGTTCAATTCTCTATCTAAAGATAAACCATAACATAAACCTTTCGCGTTCTGTTTCTACTAGCAAACTTAGTTATTCAATTCTATATTTTTTTTTGCCGCGAATTCAAGTATATTTCATAATTCGTTATAACTCAAATACTATCGATAATTCCAAAATGATAATAGACCCATATCAACATGATACACATAATGTTTACATAAACTTGCAAGTAATAATAAGTATCCAATGAGGAGTCCTTCAATATATTTATACTAAAATATGGCTATGATAACCGTATCGGAATTCCCAGAACTCCGAAGGAAATGCGTTTCAATGACATAGGTTATTAACGTCGCTACTTGAATTTCAATTATTTGCGAATTGTTATGTTGTTTTTTTTTTGGCGTAAATCAAATTATTCATTCATTTATACAAAATAATATTTTCACGAAAACAACTATGCATATCGTCAATGCTTTGTTTGTTTGTTATCAATTTATGCAAAGTAATTAATTTGAATAATGTTTGGTATTTTCACGGTTACAAATGACGTGGAAGAAAGTAAAAAAAAGCAAAATTTGCGCAAACGGATTCCCCGCTATGTGTGTAATAATAATGCCGGGAGATGTGTAAAGGAATTTCCCATTGTGCTCGCGAAGTTCACACGGGCATTCAATTAACCCTTTTTTATATTATTATATAAGGGTAGGGAAAAGTGGGATAATGCAGACAGGTTTTTCTTTCTTCTTTTCACCCCGAAAATACTCGCGCGCATACACATACAGCAGACATACGCGATGTCCGAATATACATACACATACACATATGTTTGTGTGGATGCTCGAAATTCCCATTTATAAAAAGCGTAAATAAAATTATACTGTATAATTTTGCGTGTGATTTTTCTGTTTATCGAGGGTAATCCTGTTCACGTTTGAAAGTGTTAAGAATTTGAATTTTAAAGATTTGGAGGGGTTGTGTTTTTTTAATACTGGTTATGAGTATCGTCTAGTTTGGTTTTGGTGTGCTCGAATGATGCCCGCGAGGAACTGTGTTGTTATGTACATTCAGGGTAATTAGTGTTTGTAGTTTATCTTAAATTTATCTCAATTCATAGAAAACATATGCAGACTGTTTGTCTTATCTCAATGTTAGGTCTTAATAGTAATAGAAAGTTTATGGTTCTTAGTATTTAATATTATATATAAGTTATTTCATTGATTTTATTGAACATCTGTTTGATAAAATGAAGTCAACACTAAAATAACTTTATAATCAATTGCTCTTTAAATCATTTTCTAAATTAAGTAAAGGTAAAACATAGTTTCACTTAAAGATTCACATTTTATTCTTAATTATGAATCTTATCTTATAGGTAGCAAGTTATAATTTTAGCAAATTGTATGAAAATATTAATGTCTGTTTTGATTATATACAAATTCATGCGATTTTTAATGAAGCAAGTGACATTTTTACTGAAGACTAGTAATAAAAATTTCAATTCCAAATATTCTTCCACGTGATCTTTATACTAAATGTAAATAAAAATCCAATAGTTTTAATTGAAGTTTAATAGTTTAAAGAAAAGTTTAATTTGATGGTAAAACTTATATAAATTCATATGGATATTTTCTATATAATTTCAATCTTTTAAAAAAATCTAGTTAAATATCCAAATTTTACTAAAAGCAAATGCAGTTAAATAAATAAAGGGCGATGAACTAACCGTGGATCCATTATATAATTAAATTTAACATTATTTGAAAAATATATATTATTACTCTGTCATTTATTTGTTTAAAAATATCAATATTTATATATTCTTTGGATTTAATCATAACTATATTTAATTATTTTCTATATCTAATTTTTATTAATATAACATTAATATGCACAAATTTATGATAAATATAGTTAATTTCAGTTTTGTTTAGTTACTCTAAAAATAGTCGGAAATATAATCTTGGCTTGAAAACAATGGGAGATAGGAAATTTTGCATATACACAATTAGTCATGTTAACACAAATAGTTCATTATTTTTAACTCAAAAAAGTTGAATAACATTTAAAAAAATACTGTTAAATGATTTTCCTACTGTTTAAAAATAACTATATAATGTTATATATAATTATAATTTTGTATCAGTAATAAAAGTTTACTTTACTAAAAATAAAAAATAGTAAATGTTGTTTATATTTTGAATACAATATATGTAACAATTAAGTATAATATCAATTAAGTATAATATAAGTTATGTTATTATAAATTTGAATTATATTTTAGTTCGATTTAGTTATATATTTATCTAAAATTTTGTTGAGTATTTTCATAAAGAAGTTAAACTTTAGCTCATTTGATCAAAACAGCAGCGAGCTGTGTATATTTTAAGCGTAATTTGGTATGCAGCAAATGTTTTTAAAATGTACAACGAACAAAATACAAAAATATTTACATTGGCTGTTGACAAGAGTTTGCCAAATAAAAGCGATGTTTGTGCAAACCCAGATTTCAGCACCAAATGATCTAACGGACGTATATATTTTTTTATATATTTTTTATCAGAAATACTGCATTGATAAGAAAAATGTTGGAGGAAGATGGAGAAAAGCGAGGGAGAATGATAGACTGAATAATAGTGTCTGTCGGATAATTGTAAAAACAAAATAGAAAGAATGATCAAATCATCCGCGATGACGGCGCAACTTCCATGCGGCGTCCAACAGAAAATGGATTATCCGTGGTCATGAATCTTCCAGCCGCGGCACCCCTTATCTATTTCTGGTGCATTGTGTTGGATGCGTCCAAGTCATGCCAGGTCTTTCTGCCCCGCTTTACGTCGCCGCATGCCTTGCCATAGCGGTTATTTGAAAGTGGTGCGGGCAGTTTGCGCAAATGCATTTCTGTACTTCGCACTCATGTGTCTTGCATATTCGCGGTCTCCGTCGATTACGCTTGGTATGCGCGCAACGTTGCGAGGCTAAACCCTTGCGCGTCGCTTTGCGAACCCCGAAAGCCAGCGGTCACGTTGACGTTGGTCGAGTGTTGCGTCCGCCATTTTCAATGTTAAATTATATATTTTGATACTTTTCCCAGGTACGTAGACGCTTGAATTTGCGGCGGTTGCCGCCGCTTGAGGTGCTTGAACATCTCCACTGCCTCACGTCCTTTGTCATTGCGAAAATCCGCTGTTTTTATGACGCCGATGCGTATGCCCCGTGCCTACCGTATGACCAGTAGGCTTATACCGCTCCTCGCCCTCTAAACCGTTGCTGTAGTTACGGTCATGCAGCCATACGCATCTGAACCCTTCTCGTAATAGCCGATTGCGCTGTCATCGCACGCTAAAGCCGATCAGACACTTTTCCTGAGGTACCGAAAATCCTACCGGCTTTTCATCCATGGCTTCTGTCACCTCCCACCACCACCGACGCCGGTCATAGAATTGGCGGGAAATTCCGAATTCGAATTTGAAACAGCCAAACCTCCTCCCCACTCTAAAAAAAAAAACAAAACCGCGCGCGTTTCTCTTTTCCCCGCCACCGCAACTTTCGACGATAAACAAAAAGCAAACTCGAAAACAATAACAGAGCGCAAAACGTAAAACACATCAAGCAGTGATGTTTACGTCTCGATTCTGACAGTCCGGCAATTTAAAATAAATAATATTTAAACAAGTTAAATAAATCATATTTTGTTTTTCCAGCTATGGCAGAAGGTAATGGTGAATTACTGCAAGACGAATCGATGAAGATTGACGTGGAGGCCGAGCGTACAGAGGATTACCAAAAGTTGATTGAGTATGGACTGGATGAGAAGGTGGCGGCTAAGCTTGATGAGATTTATAAGACTGGGAAACTTGCACATGTCGACTTAGATGAGAGGGCTTTAGATGCCCTGAAAGAGTTCCCCGTAGATGGGGCTCTGAATGTGCTTGGCCAGTTCCTAGACTCCAATCTGGAACATGTATCTAATAAGTCGGCATATCTGTGTGGTGTGATGAAAACCTATAGGCAAAAGAGCAGAGCCGGATCAAGTCAGGGAAGTGCTACCCCAGCTCCTGCTGCTGTTAAAGGTCCTGATGAGGAGAAAATCAAACTTATACTTGACAGGACTGGTTATACATTAGATGTTACAACAGGTAAATAAATACTTTAATATTATAAATAAGCTTCTAGAAGTTGCCTGCTCAGTGTTGCCTTTTTTTTCTGCTTGAATGAATTTAATTGCAATTTAACTCAATAACAATAATCATATGCCAAGGTCAACACATACTAAATTGTCTCAAGGACACTGATGCACTTGCCATTGCATGAAGCAAACACCTACAATTCATTGAACTGATATTTGAACATAAAAGCAACTAACTATAAATAATAAAATTATAGTCGCTTAAATAAATAATTTTGTAATTTCCTAGCCACGTATTAGGAAGTTTATATAATTGTATTTTATAATCAATAATAATAATAGGTGTTTGTATAAGGCGTGTAGTTGCGAAACAACGCGTTAAATGCACGATGAGTCATTTTCAGTATAACGCAAACTTATTTTTACATCACCATATATATTTGATAATTTATTTCTTTTTGTTTTAACATTAAAATAATTGATTTCTAACGAAAACAATTCTATTGGACATAAAATAACATTGGAATGAAAACAACAGAATGAAATTTCATATTACATTAAAAATAGATTATTTTTCTGATTGTATATAAATAGAAATATATACGTTCTTTATTTACGTTAGATTTAAATTCACATTTTGAATGATAGTAATTTTTTAGTTTGCGTGCGCATAAAAAATTTGAATGTTGCGCATTGAATAAAGCGACATTTTAGAAGTGTATTTAGATTTTCAAATTGTTTTTATACAATTTTGTATATTTTAGGGCAAAGAAAGTATGGTGGTCCGCCACCTGGCTGGGATGGTTCTACACCTGGTGCTGGCTGTGAGGTATTTTGTGGCAAAATACCGAAGGATATGTATGAGGACGAACTAATTCCACTATTCGAGGAATGCGGAACTATATGGGACTTGCGCTTAATGATGGACCCTATGACCGGAACTAATCGCGGCTATGCGTTTGTCACCTTTACCAATCGCGACGCTGCCCAGGTTGCTGTACAGAAGGTAAGAAGGTGGTGGTATGATACACGAGGCAAGGAAATTGTATATCCAGAGTATCTGTATTTGTACATATACTTCATCAATCAATATCGTTTTATTCACCTTCATTTTTTTTTGTAGTTACATTAAGTTTTCATTGGTTAGCTAAGTTACGTATGAACAATTACGTGTATACTCTGCATATTTACAATGACATAAAGTCATACTAGGTGTGTTCAATGTAGTGTTTATTTTTCATTTTTGGTGTGTACTTATTAAGAAAGCAAAACATAAGGGAGGTTTTCATTTAGTAGTCAGTAGAATTTTTTTTTGTGTTTCTTTTAAGAAGCTGGATTTTGTTGTTTTCAATTGACTCCCGCTCATATTTCGTTATATGTAGTTATGTTTTATTTTCTTTTTTAATGTTTCCTTGATGTTAGAATTTGTGTTTTCCGTTCCAAATCTTTGTAAAAAACTAGAAGGTTTGGAACAAAATGTGAAAATTTTATATGTGACCGAGCTTGTGGATTAGTTGCGAACCCTCGTAGCTTATCCACTGCAAAGTCACTGGGTAGAATGGTGAGATTTTGTAATTGGAATTTAAACATCATCTCGATCAAAAAAATCTTTTAGTCTACTTCTATTTTTATTTTGCCGTTGTATTTGTTGTACGAAATCTCACCATTCTACTGTTGTTGCACTCTAATTGGCATTCTCTATTATAGTGATGATGTGTGCCTACTGTAGTCACAGCCGGCAATTGAGAGTTGCCTTTTGTTGCAGCGGCTCTGACCACGGAGCATATATTCTATCTTCCCATAGCTTTGTCCTTGATGAGAGCCCTTAACCAAATTTAGAATCAGTTTTTTTGAAATTGTTGAATACTTAACGATCGAAAAAAAAGAAGAAACTCGGTTTTTTTAATTGGCTCTAGATATACTGGTGTATTTGGTTGGATTCAAAATATTTGTTTTTCAGGTCTCCTCTTTGCATTAACATACAAAGGGGCAAAATTGTGAAATGGCAAATCTTTATTCTAAATTCCTTTTAGTAACAACAGGTGTTGGGTGTTGTACCGGATGCGGATGTGTTCCAGGCCCTTCGGGTAGGCGGTAGCAGCGGGTTCTAAATCCATTTAGACGAGAGCATGCCCGTTTAACAGTAATCTGTTTGCAGCAAAATTTAACAATCTGAATCACTAAATTTTATTATTTTTATTTCCTATATTATTTTTATTTTATTTTTCAAAAACGCTAAAATTGATGTGGCTATACCAAATTCTGGCATGTTTCTGTTTCTTGACCCACAGCTCGATAATCATGAAATCAAACCCGGCAAGACTCTGAAAATTAACGTTAGCGTTCCGAACCTTCGGCTATTTGTGGGCAACATACCAAAGTCTAAAGGCAAAGAGGAGATTCTGGACGAGTTTGGTAAATTAACAGGTAAAGTGCATCAGTAGCTAGTGGCGGCCGGCTGCCGGGCTCAGTCCTTTGACAAACAAACTTCCTGCCCAGTCCTTCCCCTTGCCCCAGGCATAAATTGGCTACCCTTCCACTGTTCTTGCAGCTCAATGATTATGAGATACGGAAAGGCAAAAAGATAGGCGTTACCATATCTTATAACAATCACCGATTATTTGTCGGCTATATTCCAAAGAACCGGGATAGAGACGATCTCTTCGAAGAATTTACCAAACACGCACGTAAGTTGAAAGAAACCACCCTATAAATATCCCTGGAATGCGTTAGTCTGCGCCTGAGCAATGGGTAGGGCAGGGCCGCTACGAGCATGGGAAGGGTAGCAAGGTCCAATGCGATGTATTAGATATTATTATTATTTATATGTACCCCCAAGATAGACTAGTGCAGTGGACTTTGGTGCCTCTTCAGCCAAATTAATGAATTAATGTTGTGTGGCTTTCTTCATCCATCATATTAATAATCTTTGTGCTTCTTTAGCCGGTCTGATGGAAGTAATCATATACAGTTCGCCTGACGACAAGAAGAAGAACCGCGGCTTTTGCTTCTTAGAGTACGAATCCCACAAGGCTGCGTCGCTAGCCAAAAGAAGATTGGGCACCGGACGCATCAAGGTTTGGGGCTGTGACATTATCGTCGACTGGGCGGATCCGCAGGAGGAGCCAGACGAGCAGACCATGTCCAAGGTGAAGGTACTCTACGTCCGCAACCTGACGCAAGACATCTCCGAAGAGAAGCTCAAGGAATCCTTCGAGGCCTTCGGGAAGGTGGAACGTGTAAAAAAGATCAAGGACTATGCCTTTATTCATTTTGAAGACCGGGACAATGCAGTGAAAGTAAGAATTTTGTTTTGTTCATGTTCTACACATTTTTCCATCGTGCTTGTAAATAAACCACGACATCCGTGTCCAAACGATACTAATTGCATTCACCACAATAGGCAATGGAAGAACTAGATGGTAAGGAAATGGGTGGATCAAACATAGAAGTCTCTTTAGCCAAACCTCCGTCCGATAAGAAGAAAAAGGAAGAGATTCTACGTGCAAGGGAAAGAAGAATGATGCAGATGATGCAAGTGAGAGGAGGGTATGTATCAATATCTCACCTTTTCTCCTGCACCCACAACAATCATACTAATTTTCTTGTTTTTCACTCGAAGCAGTATGGTGCCGGCAAATATGCCCCTAAGAGGTCCAGCTGGTCAAGGACCAAGAACTGGTACTGGTATGAGGGGGCCAATGGGCCGAGGAGATTACGGTAAGCAAGCGATTGAACTAAACTTAAACACTATTGGTGAAAACGCGTGTTATCTAATACAAAACACATTCCTTAGTCTGCTTGTTAGTCAAGTAACTATTCTGTTGTGCTAAAAAAAATATTAAACGAACACTGAGAAATAATGACGGAAATTTAATCTGAAGTTGTTAAAGGATGCATTTGGTTTGGAAACGAAACTGCTTTTATTTGATAACTAAAAATGGTGTGGGGAATATCATGCAGGGTGAACAAAAGTTGATGTCACGAAACTAAAACCAATGTCAATAATATCCGTTGCCTCTGTGTATTCTAATCGTGTGTGAAATCATCTTGTGCACATCCTGTGTAATGCTGCCATAATATTAATAATTAAATCATGAGAGTACGCGCACTGCTGATTATTAGGTATTATTAATACATGCTAAGGTGTTGGGGAATATCTGTTTTGGCTGATGAGAAAATGACGACCAAAAAAAATGCATACTTTAACACCACTGCACACACGCATACCTTTTGGCACTTTATTTTTCCTACACGTTGCTGCTAATTCAATTCAATCAATGAACCAAAGGTAATGCAGATAGTACTATTGAACTAACACAAACAAAACAAACATTTGTATACATATACGAAAGAGACTAATTTAGTATTTTGTTTTTCTTAACACATTCTAACATTGATTTTGTTTAATACCATTTTTTTAGCTAATCTTTCAGCACAACCATATGATTAACATCTTTTGGTACTACCACTGGCAATGATTGATGATTGTTTTCTGAAAGTGATGTTTGTTGCGATACACATATAAACACACCGCACAGAGCGCTTTTTTCCTTTAAAAAACATATTGCAAAAAACAAAACAGTTATCCATTTATTACAGGTCTGGCTGATCGAATAACATTGACTAATTTTAAAAAGTTGTGTTTCTTATCATATTTTTTTCTATAAGTCTTGTTGTTGTTGTGCTGTGTGTAGACCGCTGATGATGGATGAGTTTTGTATGTGGTTGAATCGGATGAATGTGAAAGATGATGAAAGTAGAGATTGTGTTTATAGCATGCGGCTGCCTGGGGCACCGCGAAACATTGTCGAGAAATCATGAGTTTTTCAAAAAAAAAAACGAAAAAAAGGGCTACTACTACTATGTACCAAAATTTTTACCAAAATCAACCAATTGCAATGCACGCGCTCCGATTTATTCTTTCTAACTGCATGTGTCTTGTCTTTCTTGTGTTGTCGCTTGCAGGAGCGGGTAAGTACTGTGCTGTGGTGTGGGGTATTATTATATTACTACTTAGTATTACTATTTTGTTCTGCATATATATATCGCTATATATATGTTATATAAGTATATATGTATTTATATACGTTATGTTATATTGAAGTGTAGGGACCACTGGCGAGAATCGTTACTTGACTCTTTTTCCCGGCATGCTGTTTTAATAGTAAGGAGACATCTTACTCGGAGAAAACAGTTTACGAAGTACACGAAATTTCAGAGAAACAATTAAAATCAAAGAAAAAATGAAGAAAGAAATAAGAAACCAAATCAAATCTAAATTGGCTAAAATTGGGAATATTATTGTGTGTTTTATAGATTATGATTACGACTATTACGGTTACGGGGATTATCGAGGCGGCTACAGTGACCCCTATTACGATGACTTTTACCGGTATGAAGAGTACTATTATGATTACCCGCCGGCACCACCGCAAGCTCGAGGGAGAGGCAGACAGCCACAACCGGTGGGTGGCCTAATTTATAAAAAGCCCCATATATTATTTATACTTTATTATACTACTATATTTTTTTATTTATTTATTATTTTTTTTTAATTATTTTACTCTACAACCATTATTTTATATTATACTTCTCTATAATTGCGGTATAGTTTGACTGTGGCACAGTGTCGGCAGCTGCCACTAACAGCCGCTCTTAACACACCATCCCAACTCACACATTGTCTTAATTTCTGTGTCTAACTGCCCGACGCTTGCATGGAAATAAACAGAGAACGATGGGAGAGATCACCCCGATTTAAACTAAAGTACTATTATAGTACGGAGAGACGATGATGATGATGATACGGGTCGCTAGAGTATATTTCATACATGAATCTCACCGTTTTTGACTAACACAACTTGGACACTTGCCACAATCAAATATCATATCTGAACCACGGCCTACTCGTACCATACTTGCGAAGCCAAAACAATTTGTGCTTGCCGGGAAGAGATTCATGTCAGGATTGATGCCAGGACGATGCCGAGAAGAGCCGCTTGGCTCAGATATGATGTGCTCTTAGTTGCAGGGTTATCCAAAAGTTTTCCCGGAGCGGAGGCGCAGGACGAGACGCCGCCGCCGCCGAAACAAAACAAAAAAACCACTAACAAACCAAAAAAATTATATATAAAAAACATTTATTTCTGCTTAATTCGCAGTGTGTTCTTTAGAAGGTCTGCCGCTTGTTGTTGTTCGTCCGTGTCTCTCACATTGCCAAATTTTTTCAGTTTATTAAAAAAAAATATAATACGAAACCAAAAATCAGACAACCGACAAGTGGGTTGTTCCACCACCGCTTCTGTTCTATAAACCACTACTTTATACTATTTTTTTTTGCTTTTTCTTATATATTTTTTTCGCTTTAGTGCTTTTATTAGAAGCTTTGCTTTCGCTTTGTGATTGGCTGTAGACAGCCGGACATGCTGTGTAGCCGAGCCCTTGATTTATTATGTTTTTTGGATAACCCTTTTCTAGAGCTTCCGCAAATTCGATTAGTTTAAGAAGTTTGATCTTCAACTTTTTTCAAAAAAAAAAAAAAAAAAAGTGAAGGATTACTCTTAGATCAGGGTTAGCTATGAACGGAGTAAATTTGAGACCAATTTGCGTTTCAGGTATTGCATCCGCAATACTTCGATCGACCCATCCCCCCAGTAGTACTTAGTAAAACGCTGCATGTTCGTTTTTTCTCTTTGTTTACCGCTTCTTTTTATCATAAACATATTGTTAGAAACTTTAAATTGATTGTCTCAAATCTATTTCAGTTCGAGTGACCCACAGCCAGCAACATGCGATTCGTTCACACAAATAATCGCATTTTGCTGGTTGCAAACAAATTTAGGATTAAGATGATTGTTTTTTTTTATTAATGCAAGCGCTTGCAAATTTGTGATTTTCTTCCTGTTGTTGACATTCGATGAAGAGATGCGAGTTGCGAGCGATTGCTGAATATAAAAAAAGAAGCCCAGTGCCAAGTGTTTTCATAAGAGACACTACTTCTTACTGATATGATTTTATGTTGACACTTAGGAACTGGATGAAACGAATACATTGAACTCTACAAGTGTGTACTACGAAGTGAACAGTGGGACACAGGTTTGTTCCAACCCTTTCTACTAACCTTTTTTTTTATTTATCTACCGTTCAGATATATTGTTTCCGTTTTATCACATATCCCCATATTCTTTTCTCTCATACTTTGTAAACATAAGAAACTGAGTATTCTTCTATTCTACATTTGTATCTCTCATGAAGCTTTTGTGTGCTTTTTATGGTACTAAATTAATTTATTTTTATTTTTTTTTTGTTAATTTTTCAAATTAATTTTCTTAATTTGCATTTGGTGGCATCTATTCATTTCACTTTATTTTTTTCTGTTTATCAATTTCCCAAATATTTATTTGATCCAATCACTTTTGATGAATGCGACCGTTCCTCCGAATCCCTTCTCTATCCCTGAGTGTTACTTAATTTGTTATTATTTAATTATTTATTTTTTTCATTTATTACGGACTTATTATTAAGTATTAAGTAACACGCAAATCCTAAGTAGAAAGGGTAGAGCAGCGATTGATGTAGTTGATGTGTTTTTTTTTCGGCTGTGTTCTTGTGTGATTCGAAGTCGACCACACCAACGATCCGATTTCTTTATTTCTTTTTGTTTACTTTTCAGTATTTGTTTTTCATAATTCAAATTATAATCGTGTAAAGTGCAGTTGGTGTTGTCGGTTTCAGTGATTGTTGAATTTTCTTATACGACATTTTTTTTTCTATACATTTTGTTCATACAAAGTTCTTACGGACGTGGAATCCAGATTTTGGGTACTAATATTGTTGATGTGTTTTGTGACAGGCTGGCCGTGGGCGTGGGGTGGTGGCACGTGGCCGGGCCGGTGGCCCCCCAGCCCGTGGGGCAGTGGCCAACAGAGCGGGCCGGGGAGGAGCAGCAGGGGTGCGTGGAGCACCACGCCAAGCCGCCCGTGGGGGGGCTCGCGCCAAGGGAAGTTTACCAGGTAAATTCGACAATCATCTTTGTAGTTTTTTTAGCGTTTTTTTGCTGTATTTTTATTTATTTTGCCTGAAAAACATATACAAAGTATTTTGAAAACAAATAATTTCAATTTAATTTAATTGTAGATAATACTGTTAATACTAGATCTTATATCAAGAAATATTACATAATTTGGATAATAATCAACAAAAATACGCAGTATAATTTCGAACCATTCTAAAATTTTCATTTTTCTTTAACATCACTAAAACTGTAAATTGTTGTCTTTGGTTAATTATTACGATTTCATAGTGCAAACTAATTTTTCAGAAAGTCTAATTGCATTTATAAGTACATGTAATGGAGACAAAAGTTATCATAAAAGTATATACATATATATATAAATTATATAAATATTTGCGTTGATAGTTCAAATACTTTGTATATGTTACTTAATATCGATATATCGTTGCAGGTAATGTAATGAATGTTGTTTCATTTTCAGCTGTTTTGTTAGCTACAGCATAATATGATTTTCGGAGTTCCTCTTACCCTGTATGTATACAATCCCATTAATCCATCATAGTCCTATGCATTAACCACATCTTCCTATTCTCACCGCTGCAAGTAACACGGGTGGGTGAGCTGCTAGACGTGTGCTTTGATATATATGTTATATAAGGTGTTTGGTTTGTGGTCCACCCAACTGCTGTTCCCGTGTTCCTTGCACGCATCTCTCTGTGTTCTTCTATCACCGAGCAAGTGGTTATCTAAAATGTACATTTTTCCAGCAGGTAAGCGGAAATTCGACGGGGGTCACCAGAACCAGGGGGAGTCAAAGCGCAGATACCAGAGTAATTGGGGTAGTCAGCCTCTGGCGCAGCAGCCTCTGGGTGCAGCAAATGGAGAACAGTGGTATCAAGACTCGTATCAATCTTGGAGTTAAAGTATTTATGTGAACAGAGTGCACCCACGGTGGGACTGAAATTGAGTGGCCCTGCGTCTGGGCAGCAACAACATCGACGTCGGGTGGGATAGGGCTCATCCCTTCCTTCGGGGGGGATGGATCCGTCCACTGGCTAAGTGGAACCCATGTACGTGAAATATCAGCTGATGGTGTCCTCCCCATACCTTTCTGCATATTAGTTGTCTTTTTTTTTGTACTTGTTAACTTTTTCTCATTCATTTCATTTGCTCGTATATTATATATAAGCGTTGGGTTATCTAAATTATTATTTTAAATTGTAATTGTTTCATTATTATCTTTCTCTATTATTATTACTATTTTGTGTCCCTTATTACTATTTACTATGATACGATTATTTTATTTTTCACTTCTCAAATTGATAGAAATGCAAATTAAAAATTGTATAAGTTATTTGATTATTATTAGTATATTTGTTTGTTTTCTCTTATATTGTTAATTTGACGAGCACTGCGCCTCTTTCGTTCTGGAGACAAAATCGCGCGGAGGCGCCGATCCTCCAAAAAAAAATTGAAACCACGTTATATAGTCTCGATTATGATGGTATGTTATAATTGTGTTTGTTCTCTATTATTTCTCTTCATTTTATTTTTAAATATCATATTTTTTTCCATTTAATTTGTAACTTCTCACCCTTGGAAAAAAGTGTCTCACTGCGGCAGTTTTCGGTGGGTCGACACTAAACGGCGGCAGCAGCAAATAATATAATATATTTATAATATAGAGAAGGTCTAGCATACTTTTTAAAAGAAAAGAAATGAAAATAATTCGAAATTACGTAAACCTTCGAACAAGAAGAGAGATTCATTCGGGCTGCTCGTTGAGTATATAGGGGACTTTGCACTCGGTTCATGCAATGTCCGCACACGCAAAAAAAAATCCATATTTGAATAAAAAAAAGCAAAAAAATAAATCTATTACAAATTTTTTAATAAGAAAAAAAAATTTTATAAAAATAAGATTGAAAATTGATATGATCATATATTTACTGACCATCGGTCACGAAACGAGTGATTTTTTATTATTATTATATGTATAATATAAATATTATATTTTATTCCTGCAAATGCATTTTGCATTGTGATGTATTTTAGCGGTAATTTAAGGAGTTGCATATACTTCTGTTTTATTATTATTATTATTTTTGTTTGTTTGTTTGTTTTTTTTGTAATTGAACTATTTTTTTTTGTATTCTGGTAGGATTTTCGAAATTATAGTATTTTTTAAATGTTCTTACAAGAAAGAAGCGAAATTTTAAAGAGAAACGAAAAATTCGATGAAGAAATTTTTTTATATAAATATATTTATATAATATTGAACACATGTGTATATCGACAAATAATTATTATATTCTTATGTAAACGATCGAAATTTGGAAAAATTATTATTATTATGATTACTATTGAATTAATTATTAATTATTATATAACTCTGGTTAGCTCCGACACAATATTACAGCTAAAAATCACTCATCATTTTGCAATTTATATATATATTTTTTAATGATTATATATGGTAAATATTTTCTCTGTCTAATCACAATAATTATTCATTATTATTATTTTTAATTGCTTTCGCTTCCCCCCAGCCCCAAGACAATTTGTCCCTATTATTTTAATATATTTTTTTAATTTTCTCTCACTGTATAACAATTTGTCCTTATTAATTTTTAGTGTGATGTAGTTATACATATTTTTTTAAACGACATTACTGTTAAATAACAATGCCCTGGCCGTATCTGCGGAGCTATTAAGGAGCTTCGATTGGATTTGTTATAATCATTTATGAGAGGACTGATTTATATGTCTCAATAAACAGTTGTATGTGTATTTACATTTGAAATATCCGTGTTTTTTTACTATCTTTTTTAAACCTTCCTATACTCTTTAGATTTTTTCTAACTTTTGTACTTAGCTTATACCATCAATTAAGGTGAGTTTTATTACATTTTGATACCAATATGAACGCAGTCAAATCGTATCTTATAATAGTGTCTTTTTTTTCGGGAGGAGATGATAACATTACATAGAGGGACCACGGTGGATTCGTGGTACTGTGGGATTTTTACCCACTAAAAACCTATTCTCTCGACAAGCCCGACAACCGAAAGACCGTCTATTGAAAACCCGAAGTTCGAAATCCCGAGTGTATCGAAATCCCGACAATCAAAATCCCGAGTGTATCGAAATCCCGACAGTGTCTTTTATTAATACAATTTCTACAATAACATTTTAAAATTATTCTACTATATTTTAATAGGTACGACGGATACTGAAAAAAATACTTTTAAGACCTAGGTCGATGCCTTTTTTGCCCGATTATTAATTGTTGTTATTTATTCTTAATAACAATAAATAATATTAATTATTATTGTATTTTTTTTGTTGACTTATTCATTATAAAACTTAAGAATAATAAAATTAGTTTATGTTATTAACAATAAATAGCAACAATGAATTATATTATTAAGTTTTAGATTGCCGGGATTTTGATATAGACGGGATTTTGATATAGACGGGATTTTGATTGTCGGTATTATGGTAGTCGGGATTTTGACATAGTCGAGATTTCGATATAGTCGGGATTTCGAACGTCGGGATTTCGAACATCGATATTTCGATTGTCGGGATTTCGGTTGTCGGGCTTGCGATTGCCACCGTTCGTCAGCATTCCGGTCCTGTTTGTTGATACTGCTCTGAAATGCTGTGTTGGCTTCCACTGTCATTTTCTTCGTTTTATTTCTCCATTCACCTAATTTGAATTGGGAAGGATAAAGTATATATTGTATACAAAAATATATAGTCCTTAATGCGAACTTGACTCAATTGGTACAGCAATACCTGCATAGTGCGGATTCACTATAGTTGGAAAATTTCAAAACAAACTGAATTGAGTAAAATGAAAGTAAATTCTAAAAAAAGTATTAAACATTTTTTGTACATAAATAGTTTTTTACTATATCTTTTAAAGTCACTTTTTGTATAATCGTAAACCTATCGAATGAGTTCGCTGAAACAATTGTATCATCGATATTTCGATTTTGAATGGTCCTGGAAATTACCGAAAATTTGCTAATTTAGCGCTTTATTTTACAAAATTTTGTTGAAATCGCAGTATTTTTTTTTATTAATTTTTCAAAAGTTACTTAACTATTTTGAATTTTTATTGTCGCATAAGAAGACTATACAAGAGCGTCACCGAGAAAGGACGGTTTTCATCTTCAGTTTTGTACGAATAGATCAAAAACTATCTTATCGTCTGCTACGATGCTATCAAATGTGTCGTTGCTAAAATGGAGTATCATCACGTGATTATTACATAGATTTTATTAAAATCGTAGTATGATAGGATTTTCCTTAACCCTTGTGGATGCGCAGAGTGGGTAAAACTTACCCATACTTAGAGTTAATTGTTCTAACCGACTTGTTTTTAAAGTTACGTTCTGCCGCGACTGAAGGCATACCTAATTATCCTATTTTTAGAGCAGTCACTACTTGTCAGCTGTAGTATAAAGTACGCCAGGGTAAATTTTACCGATCGCGCGATCACTAACTTTTATTTTTTTTTATTGCATAAGCAGGGGCGGAATAGCGTTGTATAACAGCAACGGTTTTTACCGTTCATTGCGTAAGAAAGGACGATTTTCGATGTCTTCATTTTTTATAAATTTGTCGAAAAACGCGCGTGCTAGTTGCATCATTGAAAACTCAAATTAAAGGTATGCTACGTGCTGTCAAATGTGACGATGCAGACCGTCACCTTTCGAATGAGTCCGCTGACAAAAAATCAATATTTAGATTTTAAATGGTCATGAATATGACCGAAATTTCGTTCAATTTACAATAAGATAGAAATTCGTTTTCAGTGTTTTTTAATTACTCGAAAATTATGTAACTTTTTTTACTTTTTATTGTTGCGTAAGAAGGACTCCACTGTATTCTAATTACTTATTAATTGGTTCATTGTTACAAACATACAGATTCAACTCTAGTTTGGAAACTGAATTCATTATACTCGGAAATTGAAGTTTTGTTAGGAAACGGATTAGTCTTTGTTCCGGTTTTATGTTTGGGAATTGAATTTTTCGGGAACTAAAGAGTTCGAGTTTTACTATATACCAATTACTTATGAATGGGTTCATGATACATATAAGGATTTAACTCTCGTTAATACCTACTTCGATATAAAAAAATAGGTTAAGAATGTTTTTACAAAATACAATTTTATTATATTGATTTATTTAATGTTTTACATCTTCTAAATAAATATAATTATTTGAATTTGAATACTTTGTATAAATCTGATATAAAAGACACAAATTGAGGTTTTTGTAATATCATAAGAGTATTACTAGTAAACAGAAAAAGCACAGTTTTAAAGTTTCAACATATCATTTCATTAAAATTCAAGTTCTTCTCAGACAATAAACGTTTGGAACATACAACATTTAACAACTGCTAAATACAATACTTGATGCATATTTTACGTAATGTAAGAGTATAAAGGAGCATCCCTATAAATTGATTATTTCATAATCTCAAACTACTCGAAGAACTACTTCAGAATCTACATTTTAATATTAATAATGCTTCAATTTTATATAAAAAATATATGTTAGAATATTCAATAAAAAATATTTTAGGTATAATTCATTCAATTAAGAAACCCTTTACAGTAGTTAAGATTTTATATTATTTTTATTATTGTATTGAATTTTTATTTTGTAATTTATTATTGCAATAAATATTATTATTTAATTAAAAGAAAAATCTTCAACTGTTGTAGTAAACTGTATTGTGCTTTTATGTATGCAACCAAATTTACGTGATGTCTCATCATGATTGTCGCAATTATAGTCTATTTTGTTTTATAATTTTGATGAGATTTAATTGTATTATTTATTGTTTTATTGTAACAAAAAGTTAGATTTATCATTTTACTTTTATTAAACTTTATTTGATTATTTTAAATATTCATCTTTTTATAATATCTCTACATAATTTCCATTTATTTCAATACATTTCTGAAGTCAGTAGTTTCAAAACATTACTCAAAATAGGCTTTTTGGAGCTTTTCAATTTCAAATTGGAACTGAAGACTCTTTACTTTATTT